CGAACCTTGTTCCTGGCGTGGCCATAAACTCGTTCATCCATTCTGAATTATTCAAATCAATAGAAAACAGCCGGGTTCAATAAAGTATGCATTAACTTTGTATCCAGCGCCTCAGTCCGTTGGAAGCTTTTTCCGGAAGTAGTATGTTTGATATTCTTCTCTGGCTCCATCGCACTCCATTTTATTAGTAGAACAGCGTTTTACATACCAAGGCACTCACACGCTCCTCCACGCCTCCTCCTCCACATGGATTCCTCAGCTTACTTGCTTCGGTCGTCTGCCAGCGGCCAGTCAGATTTCAGATGGTGGCCTTTCTTTCTAGCCATCTTTTCGTAAAGACGACAATCGATGCATTAGATGGCGACACTCTTTAACTACTGATCGCTTACTCAGATTACGAGGTGTTGCACCTTTTCTCGGTTTGAGTAGCAAAGCCGTACTTCCGGTCCCAGTGGCACGGTTACACCATATTCAGCTCCAGTTCGGCGTAGTAATGGCGCCGTTGCACCAAAGCCAGCTCGATACTGGAAACCATCGCATGTATGTATGATGAGTCTCATTGAGGTTTGAGGAGTCAGATAAAATGTTGATTCAGATGTGTGCGCAACTGTCGCACCTCTCTGCATTACCGAAACCGTTCGATTAACTCTACGTGCCGTTCGTCGATAAATTGTTCGGCGGTCGATGCGCCATACATTTATTGAACGTCCACTTAAGCTAGCGCTGCTGCCTTTGTGGAATGCTCGACGAGAATGCAGCATGCGTCTCTGTTCCAAAAAAACTAAATTGCTCTTTTAGTTGACACCGGGCTGTCACCAGGCCATCTGCAGAATCTAAACCGACGGAAGACTAGAAGTGGTCAGTGCATATCCCTTCTTTATCCTGTTTTTTTCTCTTTTTCGCCTATATTTTTTCCTTATTTTTTCCTCCCATTCCTCTTTCTGCTATTCTTTTGCTTTCCCTCTCATCTTCCTCTTCGACTTATTTCTATAATCTTCTTTGTTGAAATCTTGGTTTTGTGAACGAATCAATCGTTTCCTGTCCATGTTAAAACAGCTATTAAAATACCCCTTGGAAAAACGTTAAGGTCTTTTGTTTGATTGACCAATGGAAAATAAGAACCTTCTTGATGACGTAATTCATATGGCCTTGTACTTCTAGAGCTTCTGGCACTTGCCATGCTTGTAAAGCTTCTAATTCATTTCCTTCTTCTCGCATATGTCACTGCAAGATTTCCTTCCGGCTAGTGTACTGTTTCGTATCGATCAGATTACGTTGTTCGACTAGTTGCGTCGTTATTAATAACTCGCATTTCGTGTATTACCCGCAATAAGTCCCTGTGTTCTTAGGCTTCTGTTTGTTGCATTTGTGTGACTCCTGAGCGCACTTTGAGTTTCAGACGCAGACTGCAGCCATGAAGCATTTTGTTAATTGATCAGATTCGTTGTTTTCTGCATCTTGAAAGTCGTTCGCCGTTTAGATTATTCCAGGTTTACAGCCGGTATTTTTGCTCGAAAACTTCGCCGTCGAGCAGTCGAAAGATACAAATTACAAATGACAAATCAATATTTTATTGTCCGTGACGAATGACAATACAATATATGCAACAGAGTCAACAAACAACTACACCTTTTGCTAAAATCGGCTGCATTGCCGTTAAAACACAATGCTAATTGGGGACGCCAACACTTGCGGTAGTTAATGTTTTCCATGACCGTGCATTTCATGCACAATGACCGATTATACGATGGGAAGGCGAGATGAATGCCAAATCAGTCTTTTAGAAGTACTGGTGATGAATAAACAAGTTAAAAGTAAAATTCTATTTGATTTTGCAACTTATCGAAAATCTCAATTTTCTAGCAACATTTTAATCCAAAGTCTTGCACGTAAATTAATTTGGTAAAATACTGCAAATACATTAGGCTTAAGTCTTCTAAAGGTTGTACTACAGATTCTGGTTGCCAAGCCGAAATTGAAGGTCTTAAGAATTTCATGCGTCAAAATGGCTAACGTGAAGAAATTATAGAAAAATATTTATGAAATCCCACTTCTAATATTAAAACTAGGTCTAACAGTAAGAGTAACCCGTTTTAATTATCTCCTGTATTCTCAAACTCTAACAAAATCAGACATTCCCTGGAGAATGGTTTTCGAATCTGCTACAAATTGACTGTTCATTGGGATCGCAGATCAAACCGGAAATTAGAGACGATGAAGGATGAAGTAATGAACATGGTTTATAAGATCGCGTGCAATGCCTGGTACAATATCTACATTGGGAAAAGAATACTAGGATAGGACAGCAGGGTTGTGAAACATGATACCTCTACGAAATGGGAAATTTATGATATATATGATCCCCATTCTCTCTTCTTTTCCATTTGCTGTCTCATTGTGAACATATCCAGACATCCTCCGCCTGTCCTGAATCTACATTGCTCTTCTCGCGAGGTCTTCTGATGATATTATCTTATCCCATTCACATAACACTTTAGCGGGGACGGATAGCAGGCTGATTCCACTTTAATTATTTAATTTCCTGTAGCAGTCGTTTTTGAATACCGTTACCACAGTATTTTTCGTCAAGTCATTAGGAATCTTTTCTTTCTGTCATACCAATCCAAAGAGATTCGGTTATTCTAGAACTTTGTTCATTCCAGATTCCTTACTTAGTTTTGGTTGTATTTCATCAGTTCCTGCAGATCTGCTAGTTTTCAATTGGCTTAAGGCTTCAGTCATTTCTTCAGGGGTCGGCGGTGCAGCATCGACATTGATGTTTCGTACAGGTGTAATATCATACAGTGAATCTTGTTTCACAGTTATATCACGGTTTTGTAGCGATTCATTGTTTCTCCCCGTATCTCAATAACTTCTGTAGGATCGGACGTGATTTTACCGTCTTATTTCATGACGGATGTTATTGAATCTTCTTTTTGTGGAAGTAGCAATACACTTTCCTGAACAAAGTATTCATATTCGCACCTCCGTTATTTCAGTCTACCTCTTAAAGGTACTTATGTTTCTTTTAATGCTTTACAGTTTCTTCCTGTACTTCTCTTATGAAACTTTATTGTCATTCTTGACAGTCCTGCCCTTTTCTGGCAACCGTTTAGTTTCCATACTTATCCATGCTCCCTTCGGTTTTTCTTCCATCGCCGTTGCTCTTCTGCCATTCTTACCGCTGCTTCTTTGTATATGTTCCAGATTTTTTCTACCGATCCATCGCTTGTATGATCAGTACGAGTATGCTTCGGATGCTTCTGGACATTTCTCCTGGGATACGGGCTTTGCGGTGTTTTTATTTGCTTGCTTTAGCTTGCTTTAGTTAATCTGCTGTTAACTACTTATTTAATGCTTTAATGTTCTTTTACTTGCTGTACAACATGATTCTTTGGTGATGTTGAGTGGGTGCTAAACTGCGAAATTGAGTATGACCTTCGGTAAATTTCAGCGATGGTCAGCATTTCTGGCCATTTTCACTTATGGAGTTTATAGTGCGGCGAGAATATCCGTCGCCTCACTGTCGTCCAAATGATTTAGAAACGCTGAATTTGAAGTAATGTTTGTAGCTAGGTGACCAGTGCACTGTATAATAATTTCATGTTTCCTTTCCACATAACAGGATTCGCCAGTCTACCTTGTAAGGTCGAACGGCGAGTCTATGCGGTCTGGATTTGAACCAATGATGTTTCTGCAGCGAGTTTGACGTATTGCCGGCTGTCTCTAGGAGAAAAACGACTGGACAACAAATGCAGGTGGAAGGATTGGGGACCACCGACCGCATTATTCGTTGCCTCGACCATTCAGAGACTTTAAAAATTGCAATGAACTCACTGAAAACGGTTGATGAGTCATTGGCTAGACGTACAGAAGATGCAGATGACCATAGGCAGCAAAGACTCAGTAAGGACAACGCAAAGGTATCACCCGCAGATTTTTGCTTCACGTCTTTCCCCGTGAATGGAAGATGATATTGCTACTGTTGCTCTTGTTATCGTTTACTGAGGATATACGACGATCGATGTTTTAGGAAAGAAGGAGGATGGCGCCGAATCGTCGAAACCGCATAAACCGTCTATCGTCAACTCGTTAAAGAATGTCATGCACCGAAGCGGCTCAGATTCACTTGAATGGGTCGGTGGGTTGAAGCACACTAGAAGCGGTTTGTGCGACTCGATTTCGCCAAGCATGCTAAGCAAGATTCCTGCGTCGGCGACCGATAAAATAGACGCCCTGCAGAGCTTCGTCAAAGAGCGCAAGTCGTTGCTGCTTGGCCGTCGATCCACCGACTTCTCAAACGGTGATTCTGATCACAGGCGACATAAGGGCACCGTTCTCGATGATCAGCAGGATATTTGCTACAACAGCAAGCTCTCAAA